CCCCCCCCCCCAACAATTTGGATCCTTATTTTACCCACCTCGGAAGGATGGAAGGCTGAGTCAACCTTGAGCCAATCACAATCAAACTGCTGGCAATGGGCAGAGTTAATCTGCAATAGCAATAGCACTTAGATTTATATACCGCTTCACAAGGCTCTTAACCCTCTTTAAGCAGTTTTTATAGAGTCAGCCTTTTGCCCCCAACAATCTGGGTCCTCATTTTACCCACCTCGGAAGGACGGAAAGCTGAGTCAACCTTCAGCCTGGTGAGATTCGAACTGCCAAATTGCAGGCAGCCGGCAGTCAGCAGAAGTAGCCTGCAGTACCGCATTCTAACTGCTGCGCCACCCTGGCTCTTCTAGTAAGACGGTTGTTAAGTCAATCTGCTTTCCCCATTAATTTGGCTGGTCAGAAGGTCGCAAAACGAAATCCCGTAACCCCGGGACACTGCAACCGTCATAAATACGAGTCAGTTGCCAAGCGTCTGAATTTTCATAATATGACCGTGGCGATGCTGTGATGGGTATAAGTGTGAACAATGGTCCTAAGTCGCTTTTTTCAGTGCCGTTGTAACTTGGAATCGTCACTAAATGAACCGTTGTAAGTCGAGGGCTACCGATATGTCCAGTTTTATAAAATCCATACCGGTATTTGAAGAAGGAATCCTGATATATTTTTTTTTAGCAGTTTTCCTATGAACTGGCAAACAGGCCGTTCTCAGTGTTGAAACTGGGTATGTCTAATTTAATGAAGAAAAGGGCTAGGAGTGAGATGATAGCAGTCTTCCAGTATCTCAGGGGCTGCCCCAAAGAAGAGGGAGTCAAGCTATTCTCCAAAGCACCTGAAGGCAGGACAAGAAGCAATGGATGGAAACTCATCAAGGAGAGAAGCAACCTAGAACTAAGGAGAAATTAGTTTTGTTTTTTAGTTTATTTTGATAGCCCCTCTGCCAGCGAAAAAAGGCTCCCGAGCTCCGTTTTCAGCTGTGACGGCCTCCTGCAACCCTCCGCCGGCGAAAACGGAGCTCAGGAAAGCCACGTACAGCCCTCTCGAGCTCCGTTTTCGCTGGCAAAGGCACCGCGGACGAGTCCGCTGTTTCCATGGCGGCACCGCAGGCCAGATCTAAGCACCCCTCAGGCTGGATCTGGCCCCCGTCTTGAGTTTGAAACCCCTGACCTACAAGGTCCCTTCCAACTCCTCTGTTAATCTGTGGTCGTAAATCGAGGATTACCTGTAATCCGCTCGAATCGTTATCAGGTCTGGAGAAGAAAACTCGGATCAAACTTGTCGTCCTGTCTTGAGCCGCTGGACTTTGGGTTATTCTCTCAGCCTTCAGCGTTGTTTACAGAGGAAACCTCTTCGCGCTGATGAGCCTGACCAGTTCCCACTGTGGGAGCTTCAGCTCGTACCTGGAAGAAGCGGACGGCTCAAGGGGCAGTTAGCAGCCTCTCGGGCGATGCGCCGACCAAAAAATAGCCCGTTTCCAAGGCATAAAAATCGTACAAACGTCTTGGAAGTGGAAGCAATAACGGGTGATAAGAACGACAGCAACCGAATTACACGTAGGCCTCAACGTACAAGCTTCACGGAGCCCGCTCATTACAGTCGTCTCCTGGGACGTTTTCTGCAGCAGTCATTAAGCAAACATCACGGTTGTTAAGTGAACCCGGGGTTCACTGTAGGTGCAGTTTTGCCTAAAAAAAACCAAAACAAACCCAGAAGTATTGGTTTTCAGCAAAACCAGGATAAAATGTGGTTGCGTGACCATGGGATGTGCAAACAACCGTTACATGTGACGTTTGATGACATTACCACTGCTGTTAGATCTTCGGATCTGGGTGGCAAGTCCCCCTTTTTTGGCTGGTTGTAACTATGAACGGTCGCTAAGTGACTGGTCGTAAGTCGAGCACTGCCTGTACTGCCCATATAGAACCTATTTGTTTTTTAAAATAATCGATATTGGCAATTTGTAAGATGTGTGGACTTCAGCTGCCTGGGGAATTCTGGGAGTGGAAGTCCACTCATCTTAAAGCAGGCTAACTGGGGAATTCTTTTTTTTTAATAAGTTTTTTTGTTTTATTTTTAATACAAACAATTCATCTTCCATTAAACAGTGTCGCCTGTGTACAATTACAATAATTGCAATAGCAATTAAAAATTACAAACATATTCATTGTGTTGGTATTAATTCTCTATTCTTAATACTAATATTAGTATTAATAGTATTAATTAATATTAATTAATATTAATACTAATATTAATAAAAATCAACGATTTTTTAAAAAAAATAAAAAAAAATCAGATTTTTTTGATTTAAATCGGATTTTTTTGATTTTTATCAAATTTATTTTAATAAAAAACTTTTGGGGTAAAAATCTATCTTAAGATAGTTTTCTATTTAAGTTACATAAATAATTTAGTTTATTCAGCATGAAATGGAGCTTAGTTATGTAGCAGGAGGCTGTATATTCTGCAACACTGGGACTATCGGTGAGTCAACAGTGGGTCAAAGGAGGAGCAGAGATGACAGTTGCTCTTTAAAAATTATGATTTAAATCGAGTTGATTTAAATCAAGCCTTTTTACTAGAGATTTAAATCATGATTTAAATTGTGATTTAAATCAACTCGATTTAAATCAAATCCACCCTGCCTAGTCATAATATCAATCATCATCTTAACATATTTAATTATATCTTAACTTATATTTTACTAATCTTCTTTTATTTTTAGCTTTCATATTTATTCTCTAACCATTGATAAAATAAATCCCATATCATATAATATTCAGCTTGCTCCTTCGCTTTGATTGCCAGTGTCGGCTGGCGACCCCCAGGGGGAGAGCTTTCTCTGTGAGCGCACCCACCCTCTGGAACCAACTTCCGTTGGAGCTCCGGATGGCCCCTGACCTTCCCTTTTTCCGCCGCGAGTTGAAGACCTGGTTGTTCCGTAGCCTGGACTGATGGGGGGTTTTTAATGAATTTTAAATTGGGTTTTAATTTTATATCGTTTTAATAAGGAATTATGCATTTTACCGTTGTGAGCCGCCCTGAGTCCTCGGAGATAGGGCGGCATATAAATTGCATAAAATAAATAAATAAAATAAATTGTTAACCTATTCATTTCTGCACATTCTAATATTTTTCTGATCACATTCTCATCTGTCGGAATCTCTTTACTTTTCCAATTTTGTGGGAAGTCTACCCATCTTAAAGCATGCTAGCTGGGGAATTCTGGGAGTAGAAGTCCACCCATCTTAAAGCAGGCTGGCCAGAGAATTCTGGGACTTGAATTCCACCCATCTTAAAGGACATATTTCCAACAAGGGAATCCTTTTACTCTCTGAACCCCGACCAGCTGATCACCTTCCCAGGATCCCTAGATCCTCACAGCATCACCTGATAACAGGTGATTTCCTCTTCCAAGCTTGCACCGGCCTGCACTAAAAGCCAGGTCTTGGCATCCAGAGGTGGTGGGTGCTCCATCATTGGAGGTATTTAAGAAGAGACTGGACAACCATTGGGCTGGAGAATTCTGGGAGTTGAAGTCCACAAGTCTTAAAGCTGTCAAGTTTGGGGATCCCTGGTATAGGGCCCCCTGCTTGAGGAGGGGGTTGGACTAGAGGACCTCCAAGGTCCCTTCCCACCCTGTTAATCTGTTATTTTCTGAATTCCTCTGTATGTACATGCGTGATCGGTCTGAACTTGAGAAGGGAAAACTCCAGATTGTTCTCTCTTTCAGCGCAGTCAACGTGGGGACCGATATGTTGGAACTTGACTGCCATTTGACCAAGGATGAACAAGTGGTGGTTTCGCACGACGAGAATCTGAAACGGTCGACCGGAGTGGACGTCAATATATCAGACCTCAAATACTCAGTAAGTTCATGTAAGCACCGTTCTCTTCCTTTTTCTGCCAAAACCCATCAGCCGGTTGAGAGGTGGTAGCCCGGGCCTTGCAAAAACTCTCAGGGCCCCAAATCCTGGCTTTAAATGTCAGATGCAAAATTCTGCATTTATTTATTTATTCTGTTACATAATGTAGTGTATATTGGAAGTGTATATCTGGCTATTCTCGTGCTGCACTAAGAGAGATTTCTTGTGAACCCCGGGGGATTGAAGCCAAAGAGTTCTTGGATAAAGGTTATTCTGATTTTCGGTCTCTGAACCTCTCTGTATTTAAGCTCACATTTTCTTCTTTTCAAAAGGAACTCCCTCCGTATCTCTGCAAGTTGGAGGTCACTTTCCAGAAAGGTAATCATTTGAAGATCTGAATCTTTGCAGAATGCGCTCATCGTATTGCTCCATTTCAGCCTGGTCTGTCAGCATTCCTCCCTGGGAATGCCAAGGTCTTGCCGCTGTCCATAACTTCACATTTACAAAGCAGCTAAGACCAAAATAGTTCTACCTTGCTGTTCTCACCCGGCTCCCAAACACAGCAAACCCTCCGTAGTTAAATAAATATTCCCTTTATTAGGAGCGCCAGCAGCCCTGGCAAAAAGTCTCTCTCTCGCGCACACACACACAGCAGACTAACAAGTTTGTCCACCAGGGAGATGAATAGTTGTCTGCCACATCTATTCATCTCTGCCCCCTGCCTTTTATCCCCAGAGTTAGGGTGGGGCTTCGCTAGCAGCAGTGGCTCTTCCGTCCCGAGGACCGGCCCATAGATTTCCACTGCTCTCCTCTCCTCTGCCTTCTGCACATCCGTGCGTCAGACACTGGACCCAGCTGTTCCTCCTCTTCCTCATCAGCCACCTGCAGACCTGGGGGCTGTTGACTCTCTATCTGAGGGCTGACGGATGGCCCAGACTCTGTCTCTCTGTCTCTCTCTCTCTCTCTCTCTCTCTCTCTCTGTCTCTCTCTCTCTCTCTCTCTTTCCTTATCTGATTCAGCTGTTGAAGGGGTCAGCGGCCGACATTAATTTAAAGAAACTGGTTCTGACCAGTTCTGGAGAACCAGCAGCAGAAAGTTTGAGTAGTTCGGAGAACCGGTAGTAAAAATTCTGACTGGCCCTGCCCCCAAGTCCCAGCTGATCAGGAGGAAATGGGGATTTTACAGTATCTTTCCCTTGGAGTGGGGTGGGAATGGTGATTTTACAGTATCCTTCCCCTGCCACGCCCACCAAGCCATGCCACGCCCACCAAGCCACGCCCACAGAACCGGTAGTAAAAAAAATTGAAACCCACCACTGGGGGCAGATGTGTGTGAGCTCGCACGATGCGTGCGTGGTGAGCTCGCACGATGTTTGCGATGACCTTCAGACGAGTGGGAGCACAAGCACCTGTGACGTTCACATGAGTGGGTCTGGACCCAATGGTGGTATTCAGCCAGTTCTATCCGGTTCGGGAAAACCAGTAGCGGCGGCTGCGAGAGGCTCCTCCCACCCACCCGGACCTCATCACGTCCCATTTTTGGTGCTCTGCGCATGGCAGATTCATTTACTAGTCGCCATGATGGACATTTTAGAGTCGTGATGGTGAACCTATGGCACGGGTGCCACAGGTGGCACGCGGAGCCATATTGCCCTAGCTCAGCTCCAGCACGCATGCGCGCACTAGCCAATTGATTTTCAGGCCTTCCAGTCCCACCAGAAGTTGGGAAACTGGCTGTTTCTGGCCTTCGGAAGGCCTCCGGGGGGGATGGGGAAGGCTGTTTTTGCCCTCCCCAGGCTCCTAGAAAGCCTCTGGAGCCTGGGGAGGGGGAAAAACGGGCACACCGGGCCATCACATGCCAAAAGCAGGGGGAAGTATGGGGGGAGTCACGTGCGCATGCGTGGGAGGGCGGGGCGCATTGAATTATGGATGTGGGCACACGCACCTGCGACCCTCCCCCCCCCGCTCCCCCTGCTTTTGGCACGCGACGGCAAAAAGGTTAGCCATCACTCTTTTAGAGAATAGAGCAAATTAGCTTTCTGTCGAGTGGAGCTTTCTGCAAGTCAAATATTTCAGGGAACTTGGAGGCACGATCTTGTATTCTTCATGTACCATTTCTCAGCAATCCTTCACACGTTCTGGATGTGAGAACGTCCCAGGATTCTTCTCTCTTTGAAGCCCTATGCCCATTGAGGTGGGACCAGCCCTCGGAGCCTGGTCCAAGGGTTCCACCTTCACCTGTCTTTTGGGAGTGAGAAATCCAGGGTTATTTCTATGGGGGAGGAGGGTGGGTGCCACCCATCCCGCGGCAGCGGCCAATAACTTCCCCATGTCCTCAGCAGCAACCAAATTCTGTTTGTGTACATCAGAATGCCAGTGCGAAGGTGAAGACAAACGCATCCCTCTCCTTCAAGAGGTGTTTGAGGCCTTTCCCCACACGCCGGTCAACATCGACATCAAAGTGAACAACGACCTGCTGATTAAAAAGGCGAGTCCTCTCTTCTCATTCCACCTCCTTCCCTTTTTTTCATTCATTTATTTTGTTTGTTTGTCAAACATGTCCAAGATAGCAGGTATGAATATGAACATGGACATGAACGAAGGAGATGAATACAAATAAATGGGGACGGTAGGACAGGGACGGTAGGCACGCTGGTGTGCTCATGCACGCCCCCTTTTACGGACCTCTTAGGAATGGGGTGAAGTCCACGGTGGACAGTTTGAGGTTGAAGCTGTGAGGGTTTGAGGCTGTTGACAACGGAGTAGGGTAGAGCGTTCCAGGCGCTGACCACTCTGTTGCTGAAGTCGTATTTTATGCAATCGAATTTGGAGCGGTTTACCTTGAGTTTCTATCGATAGTTTGCCCGTGTATTGTTGTGGTTGAAGCTGAAGAAGTCGTTGACAGACAAAGGAGAAAGAAAGGAGAGAGGAGGAGGAGAAGGAGAGAGAGGAATGGAAGAAAGGGGAAGGAGAGGAAGGAAGGATAGGGGACAAAAGCAGGCGAGAAGGTGAGAAAGAGGGAAGGAGTGGGGAGAGGAAGGGGAAGTAGGGGAGGGGAGGAGGAGGAAGAAAGTAGAAGAGGAGAGGGAGGGACAGAAAAAAAAGAAGAAGGAGAAGGTTTGTTGTGAAAAAAAGGAAAAGAGGGTAGAAGAGCAACTCCAAATGTAACTAAAATGTCTTATTTTTATGGTTTTGATAGAAAAAATATGTATATATAAGATCAATCATGGAAACTTTAAGAAATCATTGACAGGCAAGATGTTGTAGCAGATAATTTTGTGTACGATGCTTAGATCAGACCTCAGGCGGCGCAGTTCCAGATTGTCCCAAACCCAAAATTTCAAACCTGGTGGCATAAGGGATTCTATTGTGAGTGGAGGACTCTTCTCATGAAATACCTCTGGACCCTCTCAATCGTGTTAATGTCTGATATACAGTGTGGGTTCCAGGCGGATGAGCTGTATTCAAGAATTGGTCTGGCAAAGGTTTTGTTTTACGTCCTCCTTGCTTCTGATTGGGCCAATGGTGCCTTTCAAGTGAGGACAACAGTGGCCAGGTTCCTGAGTGGTGGCCAGGCAGAAGTATGGATTCCACACCCTCATAGTTAAACCAGTGTTTCCCAGAATCCCCCAGCTAACCATACTAGGAGTTGAAGTCCATACATCTTAAAGTTTTCAAGGTTAGGGCACACTGTCTAAAGGCAGGCTTACTAGAAAGAGATGGTGTCAACTGTGCGGCTAGCGACCCCACAATAAGGAAAAACACTCGGGAGCGTTGAATTCCCAAAAGTAAAACTTTATTGGATACACCATTTTGGTACTGAAGAATCAAAACTAGCTCTGAATTTTCCCGCGCAAATACTTGCTTAGTTAAAACAATAACTTTCGCACTTTTTTCCTGCCCCGGGGGGGGGGGGGGGGTTCACATTGTCCAACTGTGAGACATCCTTTTGTTATGGGAACAGTCCACCTCCTTCTCAAGCACATGCAGTGATGACCTTGATGGTTTCCAGGCTCTCCCGATCCGTGCGCAAAATCTCAGCATTTCATTCCATCTTTCCCATTCCCCATTTTTGGCCTAGCGGGCTTCCCTTCAGCCTCTTGGGCCCAAAAACGGACCATGGGGGACGGGTTGTGAGTACCCCCCCAACGCAAGCACCCCCCCCAAGCTCCCTCCTGCCTCCCGCGCATGCACACGTGTCTCCCGATTCACTTAAAAACTGTGGCAAGAAAGGTCTTAAGATGGGACAAAACTCACTTAACAAGTGTTTCACTTAACAACAGAAAATTTGGGTTCCATTGTGGTCATATGTCGAGGACTACCTGTACTCGATTTATTTTTCGTAACGGTGTCCTTCTTCTCATCCATCTCCTGGAAAACACCTCTAATTACCATTTTTCATCCTTGTACTCTAGATTAATAGTTCACCAAGCAATGTAGGAACTCAATTCAAACTCTTTAAGAGCAGAATTTTTTAAAATAATCTTTTTCCTTTTTCTATTGATCTTAGGTTTCCGAGTTGGTGAGGTCTTACAAACGGGAACATTTGACGGTTTGGGGCAGCGTCAGCCATGAGGTTGTGGAAAAGTGTCACAAAGAGGTAAACAGAGAATTTATACCCTGTTGGTTTTAACCCCCCCCCTTTTTTTTTTTTTAAAAAAAACATAGGGCATACCTTCGAACGGTCGCAAGTCGAAGTCTACCTGTGTATGTATCTATGTACATTTTTATGGATGCTTCCTGTGGAGGCCTCAGATTAAATTTTCATGTGCGTGTATGAAAATTTGTACGGGTGGTTTGCATTCTAATTAGTTTAATGAAAAGAAGGACGGGGGTGTGTGTGATATGATAGCAGTCTTCCAATATTTGAGGGGCTGCCCCAAAGAAGAGGGGTGGGGTCCTGACAGTTAGAAAAATTAATCAGTGGAGCAACTTGCCTCCAGAAGTTGTGAATTCTCCAACACTGGACGTTTATAAGAAGAGATTGGACAACTGAAATGGTATAGGGCCGTGATGGCAAACCTATAGCACGCATGCCAGAGCCCACCCTGCCAGCTGATTTTTGGGATGTACCGGGGGAGGGGCGCAATCGGGAGAACCGTGCGTGGGAGGCAGGGGGGAGCGTGGGGGGTTCTCGCAACGCGCCCCCCATGGTCCGTTTTCAGGCCCAGGAGGCTGCAGGGAAACCTGCTAGGCCAAAAATGGGGGACAGGGGGGTCACATGTGTATGCGCAGTGAGCGGGAGGGTTGGGTGTGCATGCGCAGGGGGAGGCGCATTGCATTATGGGTGCCGGCACATGTGTGTGCTGTTGCACGCACGTGAGATTTTGGCACACGAGAAAAAGGTTGGCCATCGCTGGTATAGGGACTCCTGCTTGAGCAGGGGGCTGGACTAGAAGACCTCCAAGGTCCCTTCCGTGTATTCTGTTATTCTGCTTTGGAGAATAAGTTGAGCGCCTCAAATCCTGGAAAGATTTCTGTGTCTAGAAATGGCAGGACAAGATGCGGCGAATGGAAATTAATCAAGGAAGAGAAGCAGCCTAGAAGTAAGGAGAAACTTCTTGCCAGTGTGAAAAATGAACCAGTGGAATGATTTGCGTTCAGAAGTTGTGGGTGCTCCCGTTGTGGCCGGTCAGTAGCCAGCGGAGCTGGCAGCAGAGTCAGACAGTGAGGAGGTTGGGGAGGAATATGGGCCAGTCCTGGCGACTGGGGAAAGCTCAGACGAGGGCTCTGCGTTGGAGGCAGAGAGGGAGCTAGACGGCAGTGAGGCAGAGGAACAGCTCGAGCCTGTTCCCAGTGTGTGCATGCGCAGAGCTGCCAGAAGACGAGAACAACTTAAGAAAGCAGGGTCGACTTGGGAGTAAAGCCACGCCTTGGAGGTGATTGGCGCCACCCATAAGAAACAAAAGAGGAGCGAACGGGGAGGGGGCTTTTGCAAGAAACAATTCGTTCATTCGTTCGTTTCAAGAGTGGAAAGTTCTGTTTGTGACTAAGAGACTCTGTGCCAAGTTTTGCCTTACCCTGCATTTGGAAACTAGTTATCTGGCAGCTTTCCAAGCGAGATAAGGTTTGTGTTGATAAATATTCCTCTGAAAGACTGTTTGCCGAGCCTTGCTGACTGTGAATGAAAGGAATTCACAGTCGGGTAAATAAAAGGGGTTTTGCCAGGACCAAGACTCTGCTTCCTGCTTTTTAAGGAAAAACAGGTCAGAACAGCTCCATCACTGAAGGTTGCTAGAATTGGGTACATCTAGCCTGAAGAAGAGAAGGACTAGGGGTGACATGATAGCAGTCTTCCAATATTTGAGGCGCTGTCACAAAGAAGAGGGGGTCAAGCTATTCTCCAAAGCACCTGAGGGCAGGACAAGAAGCAACGGGTGGAAACTCATCAAGGAAAGCAACCTAGAATTAAGGAGGAATTTTCTGACAGTTGAGAACAATTAACCAGTGGAACTACTTGCCTCCAGAAGTTGTGAATGCTCCAACACTGGAAGTTTTTAAGAAGATATTGTCCAGAGATTTGTCTGGAATGATATAGGTTTCCTGCCTGAGTGAGCAGGGGGTCGGACTACAAGGCCTCCAAACTCTGTTACACAATTATGAATTTTTGAGCAACGTGCCTTAAAATGAGAAGTCTGTGGAATAAGAGGGTTGAAGCCCATCCTGAGTTAACCTTCCTGTGATGTCCCTGGATTTTTCTCCCTTCAGAACTGCCACATCCCCATCCTTTTCTGCTTGCGCCGTGTCCTCCTGCTCCTCGGCCTCTTCTACACCGGCCTTCTTCCTTTCTTCCCGATCCTGGAAGACTTCCTGGAGATCCCCATGCCTTCCATCATTCTCAAGTAAGTACCGTATTTTTGGGAGTATAAGACGCATCGACTATAAGACGCACCTACCTTTTTTTGGTGAGGAAAACGAGAAAACGAAATCTGCCTCTGCCTCCCAGCAATTTTGCCTTGTTGCAGCAAACAGCAAACAGCCTGCTTTACTTTCATTTTCGTTTGCAGCGTAGCTTGATTAGCAGAAGGAAAAAAAATCTGCTCCAGCAATTTACCTCCTTGCAGCAAACAGCAGAGGCCCACGCAAAACAGCTGAGAGTCGGGAGGCCGATCCAATCAACTTGTGCTAATTAGGCTGTGCTGAAGCTGAAAGGAGCTGTTCCTTCTTGCTGCTTGCTGCAAGGAGGTAAATTGCTGGGAGGCAGAAGCCAAAGGGTGGGGGCCGGTGGGTGGGCGGGGCTACATTCGGTGTATAAGACGCACCTAAATTTTCACCCCCTTTTAGGGAGGAAAAAAAAGATGCGTTTTATACTCTGAAAAATACGGTAGCTGTTTGGGCGACCTCCAGCTGCTTCCTCGGCTTTGGCCACGAGCGAGCTTCGTCTCGTGGATATACAGGTAGTCCTTGACTTAACAACCAGTTGATTTGGTGGCCGTCCCAAGTTACAGCAGCGCTGGGAGAAAAAAAAAAAGGAATTTATCACCGGGAAGCAAAGCAAGAGATTTTAAACTTGAATGTTTGCAATCGGTTTGTTGGGGAATATTAGAATGCGAGTTAAATGCCAAATATTTAGACAAAGGAGCCGATAAATGTATTAAAATGGATCGTCGGTACAGCGCTAACCTCCAAATCAGGGGTCTCCAGCCGTGGCCACTTTAAGACTTGCGGACTTCAACTCCCAGAATTCCTCAGGACCCCTGCTCCAAATTACAACCATTCGTTTTGTGACTATTTCGAAGTTCCAACGGCACTGAAAAAGTGACTTTCGACCGTTTTTCACACACTGACCCTTACAGCATCCCCATGGTCACGTGATCAAAATTCAGAGGCTCGGCAACTGGCATGTACTTACGACGGTTGTATGTCCAGTGGGTCATGTGATTCCCCTTGAAAGCAGCCTTCTGATGAGCAAAGCCAATGGGGGAGCCAGGTTCACTTCACAGCCGCGTTACTAATTCTAACGCCTGCAGTGATTCACTTAACAACGGTGGCAAGGAAGTTGAAAGTGAAATGGGGCAAAATTCACTTAACAAATGTCTCAGAAATGTTGGGCTTGATCGTGGTCGTAAGTCAAGGACTTACCTGTATCGATTATTTTATTGATCAAAAATCACCCTAAGCTTTATAGGTCTGTGCTAAATACATGCCAGTTGCTAAGCAGCTACGGGACGGTGGGGATGCTGCAACGGTCATAAGTGTGAAAAACGGTCACAAGTGACTTTTTTTTTCCAGTGCCCTTGTAACTTCGAACAGTCACAAAATGAATGGTTGTAAGTCGAGGACTAACCTGTCCTTAACAATCCATTTTAATATATTCATCAGCTCCTTTGCTTAAATATGTGGCGTTATGAGCCTCGGTGGCGCAGTGGTTAGAATGCGGTACTGCAGGCTATTTCTGCTGCCTGCCGGCTGCCTGCAATTTGGCAGATTGAATCTCCCCAGGCTCAAGGTTGACTCAGCCTTCCGTCCTTCCGAGGTGGGTAAAATGAGAACCCAGATTGTTGGGGGCAAGATGCTGACTCTATGAAAACTGCTTAAAGAAGGCTGTAAAGCACTGTGAAGCGGTATATAAATCTAAGTGCTATTGCTATTGCAGATTAACTCTGCCCACTGCCAGCAGTTTGATCCTGATTGGCTCAAGGTTGACTCAGCCTTCCATCCTTCCGAGGTGGGCAAAATGAGGACCCAGATTGTTGGGGCAGCAATAGGCTGACTCTCTAAACCGCTTAGAGAGGGCTGTAAAGTGGTCTATAAGTCTTAAGTGCTATTGCTGTGGCATTCTAATAATATTCCTCAACATACCGCTTGCATATTTATTTATTGATTGATTGATTGATTGATTGATTGATTGATTGATTGGTTCGATTTATATGCCGCCCTTCTCCAGAGACTCAGGGCGGCTTACAATGCATTAAGCAACAGCCTTCATACTTTTTGTATATACCTGCTTAGTAGGGCTTTCGGGCCCCCGCCAGCGGTGTTTTTTTTTATACAAAGTCAGCTTATTGCCCCCACAATCCGGGTCCTCATTTTACCTACCTCGGAAGGATGGAAGGCTGAGTCAACCTTGAGCCTGGTGAGATTTGAACTCGCAGTAATTGCAGGCAGCTAAGTGCTACTTTAACAGCACTTAGTCCACTGCGCCATCAAGGCTCATATATTTCAACGTTAACTGAAACGAATGGTTATAAGTCAAGGGTTACTTGCAAGAGTCACTTCTGTTCTCTCAATTTTCAGACTGAAAGAATCGGAGAAGATTTCGAAGGGCCAGCGAATCACCATATGGCTTATTGATGTGTAAGGTTCCTTTCTTTCTTGAGCTCTCTGTTTCATTCTTGCTATCTTTCTTGTCTCCCTCCTCCATCATCTCCCCCTACCCCCCAATAAGCCTTCCCCTCCCCCCCCCACCCCCCCCATTGCCTTTCAGGGCAATTATCTTTTTTCTAAGCAATGGGGTCTCTATTAGAGTAGGAGTCTCCAACCTTGGCCACTTTAAGACTTGTGGACTTCAACTCCCAGAATTCCCCAGCCAGCTTTGCTTTTCTGGGAGTTGAAGTCCACAAGTCTTGAAGTGGCCAAGGTTGGAGATCCCTGTGTTAGAGGCACCGACTCCGCTTCCCAGATTCATTGGCTACTATTTGGGGTTCGCAAACTGCCATTGGGCCATTCAAGTCTTCCCAAAGCAGATGTATGCAGAGGAGGCTGCCTGTTGCATCTCTGCAGGATTCCAGGATTCCTTCTAAGTTAGCTTGAACTGGGCAGAGAATGAATCCCTGTATTTATTTTTTATTTATTTTTATCCTGCCTTTTATTATTTTTACAAAGACCTCGGGGCGGAGAACATAACCAAGCACATATTCCTCCTCCTGTTTTCCAACTGTGTGAGGTGGGTTGGGCTCAGTGAGAGACAGGCCCAAAGTCACCCAGCTGGCTTTCATGCTAAGGTGTGACTAGAACTCACAGTCTCCTGGTGATTGGCCCAAAGTCACCCACTGGCTTTCATGCCTAGGGAGGGATTAGAATTCACTACCTCCTGGTGATTGATCCAAAGTCACCCAGTTGCTCCTTCATTCCTACATCAGGACTAGAACTCACAATCACACAATGATTGGCCCAAAGTCACCCAGTGGCTTTCATGCCTAGGGAGGAACTAGAACTCACAAACTCCTGGTGATTGGCCCAAAGTCACCCAGCCGGCTTTCATGCCTAAAACAGGACTAGAATTCACTGTCTCCTGGTGATTGGCCCAAAGTCACCCAGCTGGCTTTCATGCCTAAAACAGGACTAGAATTCACCCTCTCCTACTTTCTAGCCTGGTGTTTTAACCACTAGACCAAACTGTCTCTCCTTTCTGCCCATGTTTTGAAACTGTCACACTGCTCCATCTTGGCTGCAGTCCTATCAGAGATTAACTCAACCTGTGACATGCCCAGAGACTCCATTCCTGCTCACAAACCACGTTTATGACGAAAGAGAGACCACGTGGAAACTTGAGTTTCTCTAGGGTCTGTTAGCAATGGATGGGCAAGGCTTTCTTCTTCCCGAAACCATGTAACATCTGACTCGATAAAATTTCTCTTACATTTTTTTTTTTTTAAAAAGTCTGTTCTTTGTCGTCTCGCATTAATCTGCGGACACCATGCTACTGATAACAGTTATTTCGATGGGCGGACGCGTCTGTGGAGGTCAAAAAAGTCAAGATGGCAGCTGCAGTTATTTTTTTTTTAAAATATAAATAATTCAAACATAGTACATAAATATCTAAATACAAAAAAAAAAAAAAGAAAGGAAAAGGAAAAAAACCCACAAATATTACAATGCACTCCCACCCCCTGGAGACCATTTTCCCTCCCTTATATTTCTTTGTCTGTAACAATTAAAGGATATATAATATATTCCAAGAATTATATATTCTTATCTCCTCCAAAACAACATATATACTTGAGTAGGTTTAATCCCTTTGCCTTCCACCAACACTGTTTTTATAAAATCCCCCCATATTTCATTATAATTGTTTGCTTTGATCATCCCTTTTTTAAATTTAATTTCTGTTGTTAATTTATCATTTGTTGCCATGCTCCAGATTTCATTATACCACTCATTTCTTTGAATATCCCAATTTCATCCCCAATATTTAGCCATCACTAATCTAGCTGCCATTATGAAATTTACAATCAGTTGCTTTTTTTTTGTTTCATTTATGTCTCGTTTTTCCACCAGCAACAATAATGCAGGCAGCTGCAGTTATGATGCCAGCAAAAAAGGAGCTGGAATTGGCTCACGGCCGCCATCTTGTCTCTTTTGGATCCCAATGTATTATGTTAACGTTTATAAGCCCATTAAAGTGCTATTTTAAGGGAAAATTTCGCTCACAGGTTTTTTTTTTTTTTTTATCAATCTGTATTTTGGAGGGAAAGGACAATTGGCAGTTGAACATGGATTGACAATCTTCTCCTTGCCATGTTTGCAGATTATTAATGAGGAAAGCCTTATTTGATCACCTCACTGCTCGAGGAATTCAGGTATTCGGTATTATTTATTTATTTATTTTTACAAAACATCTGTAAATATCTCAACTCTGTACTCGACTTGACTTGTACAGGTGGTTCTCGACTTAGCCTCTTCGTGGTGGACGAAAACCTTGGATTCTCTTCCCAAAATGTCAGTTACTATCCAGATTTTGCCTTTCAAGGGAATTAAAGCACTCTTAAGTAGGAAAAAAAAATGGGGGGGGGGAAATTACAATCTGCATTCAAAGAGATTACAGGGAGTCCTCAATTTACGACCGCAAAGGAGCCCAAAGTTTATGTGGCGAAACAAGACACTGGCTAAGTGAGTTTTGTCCCATTTTACCACCGTTCTTGCCACAGTTGCGAACCGAATGACTGTGATTTTTAAGTTAGTTAAATAAGGTGGTTGTTAAGTGAATCTGACTTCCCTATTGACGTTGATCGTCAGAAGGTCACAAAAGGCAATCACATGACCCCGGGACACTGCAACCGTCATAAATACGAGCCAATTGCCATAGCAGAATAGAATAACAGAGTTGGAAGGGACCTTGGAGGTCTTCTAGTCCAACCCCGTGCGCGGGTAGGAAATCCCTGTTATCATTTCAGGCAGATGGGTGTCCAATCTCTCCTTGAAAACCTTCAGTAATGGAGTACCTATAACTTATGGTGGCAAGCTGTTCCACTGGTTAATTGTTCTCCCTGTCAGGAAATTCCTCCTTAGTTCCAGGTTGCTTCTCTCCTTGATTAGTTTCCACCCGTTGCTTCTTGTCCTGCCCTCTGGTGCTTTGGAGAATAGCTTGATTCCCTCTTCTTTGGGGCAGCCCCTTAAATATTGGAAGACTGCTATCATGTCACCCTTAGTCCTTGTCGAATTCTATTCCCGTGACCATAAGGCTGGATCATAAGTGTGAAAAACGGTCATAAGTCACTTTTTTCAGGTCTGTTGTGACTTTGAAAGGTCACTAAATAAAAGGTTGTAAGTCAAGGACTGCCTGAACCAAGTGCACGTAGTCCTCGACTTACAACCGTTCATTTAGTGCCATTCAAAGTTAACACCGGCACTGAAAATAAGTGACTTACGGCCGTTTTTCACACTTAACGACCTTTGCAGCAGTGCACGTTATCGAAATTCAGCCGCCCGGCAACTGGTTCACCCTTATGACCGCTGCTGTGTCCCCCGGTCACGTGATACCCCCCTCCTTGCGCAACCCTCCTACCAGCAAAATCATCGAGGAAGCCCGATTCACTTAACAACCGGGTTTTGTCTACCACAGCAATTCGCTTAAGAACGGTGGCGAGGAAGGTGGTAAAACGGGGCCAAAAACCTCACTTAAGAAACGTCTCACTTAACAACAGGCATTTTGGGCCAGGGTGGATTTGATTTAAATCAAGTCGACTTAAATCACGATTTAAATCACTAGTAAAAAGGCTTCATTTACATCACCTCATTTTTAAAGAGCAGCCGTCATCTCTGTCCCGCAGCTCCTCCTGATCTGTCCCCATCCACACACACACACAAACACAGCCAGCCGAGGGTTAAGGAAGCACTTAGCACACACCCAGGTCTTTATCTCCAACTTGGCAGCGATATACACACCGTCTGCCAAGTGCTTTATTTCCACAGAAACAGAAAGATAATATACTCAGCGTACAAGAGTCCAGCAAAAATAAATATTCCTCTCAGCAGTTTCGGACAAGGCTTTAGTGACTATCCAAGGTTTATTTTTGTTCGTCACAAGGATCACTGGCCACCACCCTCTATTATATAGTCTCTGGGGTGTGGTCCAGTGACTCAGTTCTAATCCCTAGCACGCCTCCTGAGCTGCTGCAATCGTTTATCATGCCTTCGGAGGCGTGCGTCCAGGAATGATGTCTCTCCTTCACTCTCATCCGAGACACCTGTCTCCCGGCTAATCTCCTCTCCCTCGGCCGGCACCTGAGACAGTGCCAGAGGGGAGGGGCCTGGAGAGGGAGGCCTGGCTGACTCCTCTTCCTCATGCTCGGAGCTTTCTTCCTCCGATGGGATAGGCTCAGAGGGCGGGGCCACAACACCTCCTCTGACCCGCTGTTGACTCACCGACAGTCCCATTCGCTTTAATGGGACGGCTGGTGATGCGGCAGGGATGCAACAAGGTGAAGGACGTGGCAGGCAGCAGGTGAGTGGATGCCCACTAACAGGCGCTGCCTTGATGGATCTGAAATGACAGGCACTCTTTAATATTACATTTATAAGCTGCTTAGAAGGTTTCACTTTCATTTTTACTGCTTGCCCTTCCTCCTCACACTTAAGAGTCTGGTGGTACAGCTGCATTCCTCTCAGGGATGGGCTGCTGGGGGTTCGCAGGCATTTGGGAGAACCTCTAGCTAAGATTCTGTGCAATTCGGAGAACCCCCAAATCTCACTCCTGGCTGGCCCTACCCACCTGCACCTGCCCCTCCCAAGAGTCCCAGCGCAGCCCGTTTTGGATGCAGGTAAGTGCAGGGCGTCTGCGGTGGTTCGGGGAGGCCGAAAAATGGGCCTACCCGTTCCCTGCCTCCAGAGGGCCTTTGGAGCCTGGAGTCCGGGGAGAGCAAAAGGCCACGCCCACCATGGCCACACCCACCCAGCAACCTGGCAGAGAACCCCTTGCTCAAATTTTTGAAGCCCACCCCTGATTTCTCTTCAAACAATCATAGAGTTTCTAGTGTACATAGATTTGCGAAACAATGGGATAAAGGAATATCCCCGAACTTCATTTTATGATTTCTCTCATGGCTACTGTGAAATTGTGTGAATGCATCAATGCAGTGCATGTTATCTCACCTTTGCAGAGCTCGGATTCATTGAATGAGTTTACCAAAAATGTAAATATTGCAGAATCTACAGCCTCATGCTACATATCTAAGCTCCATTTCAATGCTGAATAAACTAAATCATTAATGTATCTTAAATAGAAAACTATCTTTAGATCGATTTTTACTCCAAAAGCATTTTATTAAAATAAATTTGATTTTTGAAAAATCCGATTTAAATTTTTTTAAAAAATCTTATTCCTTTTTTTTAAATCATCGATTTTTATCCACCCTGCTTTGGGCTCAATTGTTGTCGTAAGTCAAGGACTAACCTGTATAATAAATCAATAAATAATCCAGACATGACGTATGTGAACTAAAGCAGTTGTTCCCACGAGCAGCGAGATTTCCTCTGGGAAGGCAGCGAGGTTGAAAAATCATTTTGGGGGGAAAGTGAGATGATGACGCCCAGCTGTTTCCTTCAGGTCTACATCTGGGTGCTGAACGAAGACCAGGAATACAAGCGAGCCTTCGACCTGGGGGCCACTGGCGTGATGACCGACTACCCCACCAAACTGAAGGAATTCCTCCATAACTATCCGGCGTGAAGCCAGGTAGAGATGCCGCCGCCGTCATCGCTTCTTCGGAGTAGAGATTGGAAGAGACCGAAGGAGAGGATCCACTCTTCCATTTGAGTTTTTTTTCAGCAAACGTCCAGCCGCCGTCACACAATACAACCCGACAACTTGGTTTCGACGACCTCGTTCTTAAAAAGTCACGCCATGCCACGCCATGCAGCCGTATTCATCGACGGCCCTCAGTGGCGGGGTTGACACTCTCTCCTCCTTTGTAAATAGCTTGGTTTGAGTGATCATCTCCTCACCTTAGAGATCTGGGTCCCTTGGCGAGGCTGCGTGAAAAACTGGGTGGGGGCACGAACGGACGACGCAACCTCTTGGCTTGTCCACCGAACGTGCGATGACCCCCCCTGAACTTCTCCGCGAGTTGAATGCGGATGAGTGACAGCACCTGAGACAACCACTCTAAATAGGGGGCCCGTGGCCAGTAAAGTCCTCCTTGGATATATCAGAGGTGGCTTCCTGTGGAGAACAACTATTGTTGTTGTGTCGTTGTTGAATTTGTAGCTGTGCCTAGCGAGTTAGGGCAGGATCTCCCAAGCACTAATACATTATTAGACCAGGGGTGTTCCAATCGTAGCAACTTTAAGACTGATGGACTTCAATTCCCAGAATTCCGGGATGCTGACTGAGGGATTCTGGGAGTTGAAGTCCACCGGTTTTAAAAGTTGCAAAGACTGGACCGCCTTCCAATAGAAACTTCCTACATCTATGTGCTTGTTCTAATCTCAAATCTAAAATGGCGGTCTCTCAATTTGGCCACTTGAAGATGGGTGGAACTTCAACTCCCAGAATTCCAGGATGCTGACTGAGGGATTCTGGGAGTTGAAGTCCACCGGTCTTAAAAGTTGCAAAGACCGGACAGCCTTCCATTAGACACACTTCCTATATCTGTGTGCTTGTTCTAGTCTCAAATCTAAAATGGCGGTCTCTCAATTTGGCCGCTTGAAGATGGGTGGACTTCAACTCCCAGAATTCCGAGGTAATGACTGAGGGATTCTGGGAGTTGAAGTCCAGCCATCTTCAAGTGGCCAAATTGAGATCTCAAACATGGCAACAGTTTTGCGATTAGTTGCATCTGTAGGATCAGGGTTGTTTGGCTAATTTATTATACAAGGCCATAATAGCCGCCCCATACCTCTATTTGTCAGTCAAGTGTTTTAAAAACAAATTCTGCCGTCATGAGCCGGGATGGAAAAGAGGTTTAATAACTGGGAAATTTGGATATTAGTGCAAGAGATAAAAAGGTATTATTTTTATTTTATTGTTATGTCGTCGTTTTCTTGTTGACAAATCCGAATCAATATATATATATATATATAATTGACAGATTAGAGTTCAGGTTTGGCCTGCCTCATAATGTGAATAGATCTTGCCAAGGTGGCTGACAATCCATCCCAGATCAAACTTTTTCAGCATATTTTTTTTTTTAAATTAGCACTCTTTGTGGCCAGTCTAGAAATACCTCTGCCCTTCGTATTGCTGAAGATTACAGTTGCTTAAATAGGAATGCCGTCCTAGAAAACTTTGGCACCAGTGTTGAAAATATCTGCTTTGACAAATGTCCTTCGGTTACTTGATCTCTTGTCGTTTAAAAGGGCATTTGGTGCACCGGCTGTCGGCCAGAGAAAATGGAATTTAGTTTACTTTTTTTTTTTTTTTTTAGGTGACATGTTTTTTTTAAAGGTAAGCAGATTGGGGGGAAGCAGAGCCCCCGAATACAGGACGGACGTGCCCTTAAAACCTGGGAGGGGGAAAAAATGTCTTTTTTTTAGATACGGGAATGTAGATTTTGTACTCTGCTTCTCTGTAGCAATTCCTGAGCTTGGCTTTTAATCTGTACTGCAACCTATGTAGCAGTTTTGGGATTAGAGCATTAAAAGAAAAAGAAAAAAACTTTCACCATCCATGTGCCGAAATCTGATTTCCTTTCTTCAAATGCGCTATTCAAAAACGTTCTCCCCCTATGTCAAAGATTACCTTTTTCGCTCTGATTTTCTGCTTTCAAAGTACAGGTTGGAAGTTAGCAACCGCAAATTGAGCCTGGAACTTTGGTAGAACAGGTGGTCCTCGACGTGCAACAGTTCATTTAGTGATCTTTCAAAGTTATGACGGCACAAAAAAACAAGTGACCCATGACCGTTTTTTCAGTTACTGCTTTTGCAGAATCCCCGTGTTCATGTGCTCAAAATTCAGATCCTTGGCAACTGGTTCATACTTGTGACCGTTGCCGTGTCCCAGGATTATGGGATCCCCCTTTTGCGACCTTCTGACAAGCAAAGTCAACAGGGAAGCCAAATTCCACTTAATCACCGGGTTACTAAATAACTGCTATGATTCACTTAACAACTGTGGCAAGAAAAATCGTAAAATGGGGTAAAACTCACTTAGCAAATTTTCTCTTAACAGAAATGTTGGGCTCAATAGTTGCCGTAAGTCAAGGACTGCCTGTAAATCATTGTGGTTGTTAAGCGGGACCCCACATAACTGGATTAAATTTTATAATTAGTTTACAAAAATGATAAAGTGAATCACCACACTCATTGAGTATATCATGTGGTCATTAAGCAAACCACGGGGTTGTTAACTAAATACACTGCAACTGTCATAAATACAAGTCAGTTGTCAATCATCTGAATTTTGTTCACGTGGCCACCGGGATGCTGCAACAGTCGTGAAAAATGGTCATAAGTCACTGTTTTCAGTGTCGTCGTAACTCCAAACAGTCACTAAACGAACTGTTGTAAGTCAAGGACTACCTGTATGCGATCTTCAAAGGGAAAAAGAGAGTTCTACATTCTCCACAGGTAAGTCCTCGTTTACCAGCGATCATCAGGACCGGAAACTCCATCCTTAAATGGTACGATCATAAAGCCATAACGTCCATGTCCCAATTGCCATTGTTCAGCAAATCCTGCACAATCCTGCAGTGCCACGATCCCATTTTTGACTTCCCGCTGCCTTCCCCAGTGACTTCACTCATCAGAACGTTGATGTCCCAATTGCCATTGTTCAGCAAATCCTGCACGATCCTGCAGTCCCACAATCCCATTTTTGACTTCCCACTGCCTTCCCCAGTGACGTCACTTATCGGAAGCCAGCAGGGAAAGTCCCAGATGGGGATCATGTGACCACGAGATGCTTGCGATATCATTATTGCAAGCCGATTGCCAAGCACCCAAATCACAATCATGTTATTGCTGGGATAAAGCGCCGAGAACCGTTGTAAGTCCCCCTCATTCAAGAACTGTCTCGTAATTTTAATTTAATTTAATTTAATTTAATTTCCAATTTATATACCGCCCTTCTCCCTGAGGACTCAGGGCGGTGTACAGCCAAGATAAAAGACATAGAATACAAATATTAAAACATTTAAATATATATATAAATTTTGGCCCGAAAGTTAAGAATCACAGACTAATTAAAAGAATTTTAAAATTTTAAAAATTTCTTCTTAGGCCAACCCGGCTTGTTGAAAAAGATGGGTTTTCAGGGAACGACGGAAGGCATTGAGGTCCTGGATTCTTCTTATCTCCGGGGGCAACTGATTCCAGAGGGTGGGAGCCCCCACAGAGAAGGCCCTCCCCCTGGGGGCCACCAGCCTACATTGTTTGGCTGATGGCACCCCGAGGAGGCCCTCTCTGTGGGAGCGCACGGGTCGATGGGAGGTCATCGGTAGCAGCAGGCGGTCTCGGAGATAACTAGGCCCTATGCCATGGAGCGCTTTAAAGGTGATAACCAACACCTTGAAGCGCACCCGGAAGACCACCGGGAGCCAGTGCAGCTCGCGCAGGAGCGGTGTTACATTTTGGTCATTGTACGAGCGGACATGAAGCGAAGACTACTCATAAAAAGCGCAGTTGAGTTCCAAGCTAGCAGTCTCTTCGGATGTTGTTAGAAAATGATTAAATGGGGGTTTGGATTAGAGATGGGCCTATTTTTTCCCCCCAACCGTTTGAGGAATGTCACTTCGTCTTGGTCTCTCTAAAGAGTAGCCCCAACAGGGTTAACGTTACGGGAATTGAGCTTTCCCTCACACAGAAAAGGTAATGGCAGACATTCAATTTAGAAAGGAAAAACACATTCCTTGAGTTCTCTGCTCCAACTGGCAAAGCTGAGTTCATCATTAGCTTAGACTACAGAATGTTCTCTTTGGGTCTATGACAATTTGCCACGGACAATTCACCACGGGCAATTCACCAGGGCCAGCGCTAACTCGCCAGGGCCAGCTCGCCACAGTCAACTCACCAGGGCCAACTTGTCATGGCCAACTTGCCACAGCCAAATCACCATGGCCAACTTGTCACGGCCAACTCACCAAGGCTAACTCACTATGGCCAACTTGTCATGGCCAACTTGCCACGGCCAACTCACCACAGCCAACTCACTGTGGGCCAACTTGTCATGGCCAACTTGCCACGGCCAACTCACCAGGGCCAATTCAACATGGCCAACTTGCCACGGCCAACTCACCACACGCCAACTCACTGTGGCCAACTTGTCATGGCCAACTTGTCACGGCCAACTCACCATGGCCAACTTGTCATGGCCAACTCACCAAGGCTAACTCACCAGGGCCAACTTGTCATGGCCAACTCACCAAGGCTAATTCACCAGGGCCAACTTGTCATGGCTAACTCACCAAGGCTAACTCACCAGGGCCAACTCACCATGGCCAACTTGTCATGGCCAACTTGTCACGGCCAACTCACCATGGCCAACTTGTCATGGCCAACTCACCAAGGCCAACTTGTCATGGCCAACTCACCAAGGCTAACTCACCAGGGCCAACTTGCCATGGCCAACTCACCAAGGCTAACTCACCATGGCCAACTCACCAAGGCTAACTCACCAGGGCCAACTTGCCATGGCCAACCACCAAGGCTAACTCACCAGGGCCAACTTGTCATGGCCAACTCACCACGGCCAACTCAACATAGCCAATTCAACATGGCCAACTTGCCACGGCCAACTCACCTCAGCCAGCTCACTGGCCAACTTGTCATGGCCAACTCACCGTGGCCAACTTACTGTGGGACAAGAGTTACACTAATATCAAAAGAAATGGTGGAATAGTATCATGAAAGAAAGGATGCAAAAGGAGGCACAGAAAGAAATGTCAATGGCATAAATTAAAATATTTATTTATTTTGAATAATGAAATTGAATTGTTAAATAGTCCTGCGGTGAGTTGTCCCACACAGTGAGTTGGCGGTGACAAGTTGTCCCATTCTGGTTCTCTTTAGTAGATTTGGATAAATCCATATAAGGAGTCCTCAACTTATGACCACAATTGAGCCCAGAATTTATGTTGCTAAGTGATAAATTTTGTTAAGTACGTTTGGCCCTCATTTTACAACCTTTCTTGCCACATTTTTTAAGTGAATCTCTGCAGTTGTTAAGTTAGTCCCACGGTTGTTAAGTGACTCTGTCTTCCCCATTGACTTTGCTTGTCAGACGGTCACAAAAGGGGATCACATTATCCCGGGACACTGCAACCGTCACAACTGTGAACCAATTGCCGAGCATCTGAATGTAATTCACATGACCATGGGGATGCTGCAGTGGGCATATAAAGGTGAAAACCGGTCCTAAGTCACTTATTTTCAGTGCCGTTGTATCTTTGAACGGTCACTAAACGAACTGTTGTAAGTCGAGGACTACCTGTTCACATCCAGCAGTTTCTTACACTTCCACATCATTTTTGCCACAGAGTCTTGCCCAGTTTTGCTTTTCCGGGTACAAAGCAGGGGTGAAATCCAGCAGGTTCTGACAGGTTCTGGAGAACTGGTAGCGGAAATTTCGAGTAATTCAGCGAACCGGCAAATGCCACCTCTGGCTGGCCCCAAAGTGGGGTGGGAATGGGGATTTTGCAATATCCTTCCCCCAGGAGTGGGGAGGGAATGGGGATTTTGCAGTATCCTTCCCCTGGAGTGAGGTGGGAATGGAGATTTTGCAGTATCCTTCCCTTGTCACGCCCACCAATCCACGCCCACAGAACTGATAATAAAAAAAAAATTGGATTTCACTACTGGTAACAAAGTATCCTAACATTATAGGTAGCCCTTAACCTACAACCTTAACAATTGGGAAAGGAGTATCTGTCACTAAGCAAGGCAGCTGTTAAGGGAGTCATGCCCAATTTTACAAGCTCTTGCTGTAAGAGAATCACGTGGTTATTAAACAAATCCAGCTTTTTCCCATTGACTTTGTTTGTTAGAAGATGGCTGGGACAGTAGCCAAAGATGCTGAGATGTTGAGATACGGTGGTCTGGACTGGAGGATGGCACGGGGTACCTGTGGATACCTCAAAAGTGAGCAGCCAAGAGGATCAAGGACTAACTGGAAAGCTGGAGAAGAGGAGACATAGTACACAAGTAGTCCTCAGCTTACGACAACAATTGAGCCCCAAATTTACATTGCTAAGTGAGATAGGCGTTAATTTTGCCCCATTTTACTTTCTTGCCATGGTTGTTAAGGGAATCACTGCAGCTGTTAAATTATTCGCTGGCTTCCCCATTGTTTTTGCTTCTCAAGAAGGTCACAAAAGGAGATCACGTGACCCCAGGACCGTCATAAATATGAGTCTGCTGGCTAGGGAATTCTGGGAGTTGAAGTCCACAAGTCTTAAAATGGCCAAGGTTGGAGATCCCTGATCTAAAGAACTTTTCATGCAGAAGACAGGGAAGAATTGCTGTTTTTTTAAAAGGCAGGATGGAAAATAAAAAAGGGTTTAAATGCCAGGTAGATTTCAGCTGGTTAATCAGGAAGAAATTCCCAGTGGGAAGAGCTGGAGGTGTTTAAACAGAGCTGTGTTTTTCAGCCTGGGCCCCTTTTAAGAGATGTGGACTTCATCTCCCAGAATTCCCCAGTCAGCATTGCTGGTCCCAATTGTGGTCCTAGGTCG